TATATAGAAAACGCAGAAAAAAGTAAACCTTTTTTGAAATAGACACAGTGCTAAACGATGCGTAACGGACAACGAGTACTGACTTACAATGCGTAATTATATATATATATATATATCAAATACGCGTCGTTGAGCACTGTGTTTGTTTCAAAAAATGTTTACTTTTTTCTGCGTTTTCTATAGGTATGACACATTTAGAGTTCATACTAATACATATTCCAATAGGGTCAGTATTTAACGGTACGAACAGCCTACCCCTTAAATTGGTTTACGCTACGCACATTCACAAACGACTACGGGTTGGGTATTCGAGTAAAACGAAGGCCGACGGACCATCAGGAGCCAAGGGCTATTATATAGCTATATTAACTATTCTAATGAAAGCCAACGTCACTCACGGCTGACTGGTAGATAAAATATTGTCTGAAAACATCGTAGTTATGCAGCCATTGATAGCAGATCGAAGAAAAATGAGTCATTTTCGAGATACTGCTGCGTATTGCAACCACTATGGAGGTATATTTACAACCGGCCAGAAAACTATAAATGAATTTCAATGAAAGATTGTGCCGTTCGCAATCATTTAGAACTGATCACGATATTTCGAAGCATAGTTCGGCTCAGAGAGTGGTTGAACCGCCCGTAACATACTTCTTGTATACAATTGTAAGTTTCATTTCACTCTAAGTTATCCGAATGATCAGGGCAGAATAACAGCAATTAAATAACCTACTTGGCAAACGACCATTTGTTCCGATTATGATTACTAGATTTTTATCAGGTTTCTAGAACCAGTTCTTAAATTTGTCCTCTCATTGTCGATGCGGGATCGCCTATTAAATCAAAAGTGATTTTCGATTCGACTACATGTAAGAACGTGTTGGATAATAGGAATAATAGGTTTCCCATATCACATATATCATACGAAGTTAAGTTTATACTACTATAGTGTCAGGCACTATGTAGGCCTGACACTAAAAAAAGACGCTACAATTTTGATGTCGCAATTCCTTTATGTAACGTATGCTCACGGAAGCGACTACCTAAGCATAATTTCGAATAATATACAGAGAGTAAATCGCCCTTTAAAGATGGCGACCGGTCACACTGACCAGTTAGCACAGAACAAAGAAGGTGAATACTGTGTAGCTGAACTAGAAAGTCGACATCGTTGTATTATTATGAACGACTCCAAGATAGCCGTCTCCCTCTTTTGTTGGGATAATCATATATAATCAGCCTTGTATATAGGCTGGTAATTATATAACGAGCGAACTGTTTATGATAATATCACCGACGTAATGGGATTTGAGACGTTGATAATTAGTGATTGGCTCTTTGAACTGGAAACAGAAAAGCATACATGTTGGTCAATGATTAGCCTGCGCTCAGACACATCAAACTGAACGGGGGTTTCGCCGCCCTATAAACCTAACTGTTCCGGTAAAAGACTTCATCCTTTTTTTAACAGTCAAACCGCAATCGACATGCGATAGGTGCTTGAACAATCACATTGGGGACGTTGGCAAAGTAGCTAAAGCGCCCATCGACTCGGAACTGCAATTAAATATGCCTGTAGCATCGTGTCATCAAAATGAACACAAAGTAATTGTATGGTGATCTTTTGTAATGCATGCCTTGCTTGCAGGTCTTTGGCATCTCAAGGTGCTTGTGGCTTATTTAAAAAGCCGCCACTATTTTCAATTCATGGGGTCAAAATCGTACCCTATATTTTTAATATTAGCCTAAAGTAACTCGAATAACCGCTGAAGCAACAAGTTGTTACGGTGTCTCAACTTCCTATTGTACTACACATATGAATTATGTGCCAGTAGACAAGTATACAGGTCTGAAAATGCACGACATAAATACCTAAGCATGGCGTATCTGAGTTGCTCCCTAGATAACACCGGCTCAAATATGACAAAGCTAGAAGTTGAATAAAAAAAATTCAGTTGTCGCGTCCTGGTATCGATGTGGTCGTTGTGCACATATTTACGTATTCTTTTGGGAAATTTGAGGTATCGTGCGTTTATGGTGCGTTCTTTTAGTCACTCAAATTGATGCTCGTGCGTCCTAAGGCACCTCTGTTTCTGAAAGCAAAGCGTGCGATATTAGGGGACGTAGATCTGATAAACATTTTTGTGTGCATTAAAGACACAATGGGCGAAGTTTTTTTTTGTCGGGTCACAAGGTGTGCCGGCAACCGTTGACCGTTTTGCGTGTCCTAGAAATTTGGATTCCTCAGGGCCAGTGACACCTAAGTGATGGCGTAGTATCTATCTCATCTACCTGTTTGTTTATGAAAGATTATTTCATCGCTTAACACTTATTTGTCCTCACAATAGGTGCTACAAGCAGCAACGACGTCTACGAAGGTAACCTGCAATAGGTTCACTGCTTGCGCCGTCATTTCTATCCTAGATAGAAAGACAAGTGACTAAATCAGTGTGGCCCCGCAACTCGTTCATCATCGTTTTGGTAACAACAACAGCAGCAGCAGCAGCAGCAGTATCAGTTAAAGCTGCAGCAAAACGATCTCGAAAACACGACCTAACGCACGGCGCCGAGCGTTAAAGACCCAGCAGCAGCGGTATCGCTACGACTGATATCTACTACAGCTGCTACTATAACCTGTGAAAAGAGTCGGAAAGCTGACCTTTCAGTGGCTCCGCAAAGTTGATCCCAAATCAGTATTGTTATCACATCTCATCATCAACGTTATCTGTAACGGGCGCCTTCGCTCAGTGTTATTTACTGCGGCACGTTTCTGTGCTGACTCACAGTCTAGATATTCTATCGCTTGTCACAAGACTAACAATATTTCCGCGCATCTTTTTACAACGAAGTTTAGCATTCGGAAAGACAGGGTCACTAATAACTATTGTTTTTCGCGGCATTTCGCCCGTGCTTCCGACGGTCGATCTCTCCACGTCTTCACGCGCGTCGAAAGGGAGGCAGACGGGGGCAAGTACCTGTCACAACTGACTTACACCGGACGTCCCCGACTGGCAGGACTTTAGAGAACGCGCAAAAACGTGAGCTTTCCATCGTTCGATTAGAGGTAGTAAAAATCGGCTCAAGAAGGCTGTGCCATTGAAGCGCGCATTTCGCTGCGAGTAGACCAACAAATCAGAACAGTTTAAAATACAACATTGTGTGTTTTTGTTGTGCTGTCCAAGTCGTAGACTCGTCGAAGGTTAGTAAACGTCGGAAAAAGGTCCGGTAACAGCATAATGGCGGAAGCTTGTTATAGTTACGAGCACATGAAGAGTATCTCGGACAACATCGCCAGTCGGACGAAACATCGGCCCACGATCTTGATCATCTGTGGATCGGGACTGAATACGATTGCTGAGGTTGTAAAAGAGCAGGAGACTGTGGAGTACAAGGACATCCCGGATTTCCCCCAGAGTACCGTAGTCGGCCACCAGGGCAGATTTGTGTTTGGGAAGTTAGGTGACAAAATTATTGTATGTATGCAAGGCCGTTTCCATCCATATGAAGGCTATCCGCTGTGGAAATGCGCGATGCCGGTGAGACTCATGAAGCTCATGGGTGTTCAGTTCCTCGTTGTCACGAATGCTGCTGGTGGAGTTAATGCGAACTATAAGATGGGCGACATTATGATCATTAAGGACCACATCAATTTGCCAGGCATGGCAGGCCTGAACCCTTTGAACGGCTATAATGATGAGCGTTGGGGACCCCGATTTCCGGCGATGAACAACGCATATTGTCCGAAGTTACGGAAGCTTGCTAAAGAAGTTGCGGCTGAAGTCGGTGCGAAGGATTTTATTAAGGAGGGCGTCTACTGTATGCAGGGAGGACCAAACTTCGAGACGGTGGCGGAAATCCGCATGTTACGAGCTATTGGAGCAGACGCTTGCGGTATGAGCACCTGCCATGAGGTCATCACAGCAGCTCACTGCGGTATACGAACGATCGGACTTTCCCTAATTAGCAACGAATGTGTGGCGGACTATGACACCACACAATTTGCTAATCATCAGGAAGTTCTTGAGACTGGAGCCAAGCGTAAAACAGTGTTACAAGCGCTTGTTACGAAACTCATTTCGCTGCTTTGATGACCACGTATATAGCAATTGTCAATCCCTTTCACCGAGGCCTGGCTTGACTTCGATGATACACGTAAATCTGTTGAGACAGAAATTACCAGCAACGGCTAGAGATGAGGGAAAAACCTGTGGGTGGCTGGCGATTGCTGCGGTGTTCAGATGACAAGAGCTAGCACGAAGTATCTTTAAACACAAATAAAAAAAAAAATCGATCCGCATGAAAATCAAGCTGCTCGTTAACTTTAATCTACAGTGTAACGCAATCGAATTTATGAAATGCTAAATTTATGTTACATGGACGTGAAAGCCTGCGGTTCCTGCAGCAGTCATATAAACTTAGTTTTCAATTCTTAGTAAGTACTCGAAGTACGGAACAATGATTTCTGTAAGACATAACAGCTGTATAGTTATTATAGGCTACCTTTCCTTACGTCTGAGTTAAGGATCTCTGTTTCGTTTGACATTATAACATTTGTCACATAGAATACAGTTCATATAATATTAGTTCATACCGATAACATATAAGTTTATTGATTAATAAGTACTCTGTTCGGTAAATGACACGAAAATGCACGTACTGGTAGTGGGATTGCTACTTCAACATGTTATATATTTCAATCTTATATTAGGGCAAAGTTGCGAAATTAAATTTCGACAACTATTTTTGATTTTGAATTTTTTGAGAGAACCACTATTTTAGTAGAGCAAGCGGATGTTGCAAGTTCGTCCTTGGTTCCTTGTTTAATTAGATGTGTAATATTAACTAAGCACTAATTTTTCAAGTTCTGGCCCTTTTTCTCATCGTCTAATCGATAACATACGAAACGATACACGTTTTAATAGATTTTATTCACTTATTACAATTATTACTTAGTTTGAACATGCTTTATGTAGGTGCATCTACGTACAGCATCTGGCTTACTGATCTACGGAACAGACTGTTGATGGACGACCCAAATCGATATGTAACTTACAGGCAACATTTCGTTAACACAGTATCGTTAACCAAAAAAGAAAACGTACTTTAACTTTCGATCAACAATAACTGTCGCATCAAACTGGATTGAGTACGGCATCGATTTTCATATGTCCAGATATTTAGGCTTCGGCTATCTCCTGCGTGAACGGAACAACGTACTCTTTCGCCACGGCGACAACAACGGACACAGCGACTCGTAAACAGTAAACGCCTGTATGTTAAAACAGGTGTCAACAACTATTCGGCCAACTTCTAAGCAGCGTTCATCCGGCCGTCCGATGGATAATTGCTCCACAATCAAAAATTAGACCTGCACACTTACTGGTCGCACTTTTACGGCAACTGGCCAATATTAACTACGTAATACATCGTAAAGTTCATGATTGTGCCTTGGTCAAAGCTGCTCGATAATCATTCAGCGTATGCAGAGCGTAGGATAAATGCAAGCTTAGCAAGCGCACGACTCAGGCTCGAAAGCTTTTGTCATCGACATGGTTGCTACTGCTTCTCTAGATAAGTCGTGAACATGGTTAACATCCCCGTTGACTTACGAGCTGCACTCTCCGTGTTTCAACTCTGCTTTGTCTGAAGCTCTACGTCCGCGCGGACCGATCGTTCCGCTAATGTAGCAAGCTAGCAAGTCATTCGCCAACACCGTTGCAGTCAGCTGCTGACGCTGCTGCTCCCAGTCCCAGGGCTATTAAGCCCCCACGGCTGTCGCAAGTGGCCAAATTATAGATGACCACGGAGAGCTAGAAGAGTGCCGAGGACCTTAGAAGCAGACAAGGCGACCGGAAGTTATGAGGGATGTCAAGGCAGCGGCGGAAGTGGTCGCTCCGGCGGTAGCCAGAGTAGGGAAACGGGCGCCTAATGGTGCGGACATTTGAATTGAAGGTGGGCCGGCTTACCTTGCGTCAGGACTGGTGGGGAACGGGGTGCGTGGTGCAGGATGGGCCTCGGGCGAAGGTTCCGCTGGATTTGCCGGCAATCCTACTGCTCGAATAAGCATTGGATAATACAGCAACACCGGCAGCAATAGAAGAGACTGCTATAAGCAATAGAGAAGCGCATTGCTGGGCATCGACCACGCTTCTGCTCCAACCTCCGACTACCTTCATTCTGATCCTTTGTTACCGTGCGTCCCATACCCCACGCGATTATTCCCTACCATGTCGATGCTAGAAGCATTACTGGCATTTTGTCTAGAGGTTTGCGTCATCCTTGGCGTTTTGGCCACTACTAGCAGTTGCTTGTTTGCTCCAGCGCGCTCTAGCAAGGCCCCGATAAGTATAAGGATTTGCTTTGGGCGTCGCTATAACGGTCTTATTTCCGGTAAGCCGTGGCAGAATAGCCAGCAAAACAAGGAATGGGGTCGAGTTTTCGTGCGTTTAGACCTTCTGGATCAGAGTGAGATTTAGATGCTGTTCTGGATGGATGCGCATACAATAGGATAATAATCCATACGTTAACATGCGTACGAATATAGGAACAAATCGCTAACATAGGGGCCTAGCAACAAAACTCCAGGCGCGCAAAGGTGCAAGGAGACCATTCGGTGCTGAAACTCGGGGATTCAAAAAAGAGGTCAGCACTAAAAACTACTATCTCTCGTAGACATTATAGTTGTCGAGATAGGACATATCCCTGGGAAACACTGAGTTCTTTTAAAGGGCATGCGGCCCAATGTGTTAAAACCTACCGCCATCGAATAGACAATACGACAAATCATTTCCGTGATAAAAGGCAAGCCTGTATCCAAGCAGGCTGAGTACATTCAGTGCAGTTTATGCAGACGATGGCATGAATATAGCTATATAGCTTATAATAAACAGCAGGCAAGTTCACTGACACGATGTCTTTCAGGCATACGCCACTTTGTCGGTCGTTATCTCCTTCGGCAGGCCGAACATAGGAATTCATCCTGTTAACCGCCAGCATGTCTAATGTATGTTACTTACACTTAGTAGTACAGCAGATATGTATGCATCCAAATGTGTACGAACACATGACCGGCATTGCATTTCATGAACGATTTGGCAGAGAGAGCCAAACCATTTTCACATCACCTAAAAAACAGCGGTTCTGTAGAAAACATAGGTAATGCAGGGGTTTACAAAGCTTCTTTGTTACACGCTCTTTTAGCCTAACGTAAAAATTCAAACAAAGTAATAGCAGATTGACATCGACGACAATTGGTGACTTATCCTATACCGTTTTGAAGATCTAGAAAGTCGCTTTCCGTTGATATTTTATTTCACGGCTTGGTGGAGTGCGTAACTGCAATAGTGCAAGTAAAAGCTGTGGTAGCGTAAAGCGATGAACTCAATCTACGGTCCGCGCAAAAGCAGCCTGTAGGGTGGCAGACGCAGGAAGCAATCTCGGTTATTTGTAGCCGGAATGACCAGGCCGCGTCACTCTCGCATCCCCTCAAAACGACGTGGCTACCTCCACTTCTCTAAATCTTCCCTTCTTCTCTTTCTAACTGGAAGAACACCGTTTGGGTGAGTAGCTCAGACCCAGATTCGGACCACCCAGGCTTGAGTCGCCCGATTCGGTCTGAGCTCGTGGCATAGGCAGGGTTGGCCGTTGGCCGCCGCCACTGATACCGCCTCCAGCGGCACATCGGTCGGGCTGCGCAAAAGACGGATGAAGAACGAAGTCACGTCGCTATAATGGCCTCCTCAGTCAGTCATTTTAGCGAAGAAGTGCTGCCACTGCTTCCGCCGCCATTGCTGCCGTTGGGTACGAGGTGGCATCGGCATTGGCGTGAGTTTGGTCTATAATGTCCGCATGGCAGCCGGCACCCGGTGACCGCTAGCTTTGCCTTGCTTCAGTAAACCTTCCACTCGGCCCACATCCATTTTACTTCTCATCTACCAGGCCGTTGGCATTTACCAAAAAGAACGGCGGGGGGTCTTTCTCCCATTCTCTCTGTCTGTTTCCCAAATAGAGGGGTAATTGGGGAATATTGTCTTCCCTTTCCCATTCTTTTCTACTAGTCCACGTCACGATCCTAACTGACCCAACAGGCCAACCAAGTCGGAAAAGAAAATATAGGAAGAAGAAACGGGCTGAGAGGTGGAACAACCCTCTACCCACCCCCTCCACTCCCACTACGCAGGGTAAAGCATGTCTCGCTGTGTCGGCCACAAATCGTGGAGACTCACCGACCCGATAGAGCTCCATATATATATATTATAGAATATGTATGTGTACATCCATTTGGTTCCGCAAACAATCTAGCCTCTAACCGTGCCTAGCTCATCAGGGGGGAAGGGGGGGGGGGTAGACCTATGTGGCAGTCCTGAAACGAATCAGTAGCAACAAACGCAAATTGTGAAGTGATTTGACCTGACCTCTCGGGTACAGAATAGTTTTGTACTGCAGCGATCACAATCGATTTCGTTAATGACGTAATACTTTAAAATTGAAGACCGCACAATAATTCCTAATCTCATTAATAGCCACATTAGTATTGACAATTTATACATTTCGTTAATGGCTTTATGTGTCGTCGCAAAAAAGTTCATCGTTATATATATATATATATATATATATATATATATATATGATATTTACGAGCATTGCGGACTGAGTGAGCACGTACCGCACTAACGGCTACGTGTGCATGATTGGTGCAAGCCAACAATGCTTCGTTTTAAGCTGAAGAGACTGGTAGGTAAAGTACAATTCGTCTCATATTCATTTACTGTTACATCCTTAATATAACTGCTACATACTGCACGACAAGCAGCACTCTAAACAAAGAGAGGCTAGCGTTCTGTCTGTTTTACGTATATATGTTTCAGAATGTTATCGTCCGAACTGTGGTGCACACCAAACCCATTGGCAAACTGAGCTCTTTTTCAATAGGAAAATGTATGATTACGAGGACGAAACATACTAGCAGGGCTAGCTTTTACTCGACGATTATTATGTTTATAAATAATTAAAACTGAACAAAAACAATTAAAATTAATAGTAGATTGTTATATTTACGTTTCCTGTAGTACTGAAGCTTTCCAGGGAAGAAATCGCCCTTGTTTTAGACTACAGTTTAATTAGTAGACCATGTATATGCGAATTCCCCTAAAACCATATGATCTATGCGTAAATCGAATTTCTTTATTCCTCTCCTGGTCTCCTGGTCCCCTATACAATAAACTTAAAAATAACCCGATTTGCTCATCGATAGACACTTTATCGGAGATTGCCGCGGAATTCGCTGCTAAAAGATCGACTTCCTTGGGATCAGTCCAATCTAAGTTTAAACTGCCAGTTCCGTATTGGGATTAAGTATTGATTTGAGTTCATTTAAAAAAAGGATACTTTATGACGAGCATGTCAAACTCTATGTGATGTTTCCTTAAAGCCCCTATTCCATTTGCAAAGTTCAATCTTTTATACATTTTCTAACCTAATACTTTAGAGTGTACACCTGTTCATAACGGCATTCACTCATTATTTCATTTAGCGTAAAAGATCTATAGTCTCAAGTTCGGATCGAAAAACCCAAAGGGTCTCTCCGATGAAAAAAATACATGTAATAATTTAATCAGCGTGTCCAAAGGTCTATGTACACGATGCAGAACTTCATTTATGACACATAAACGAAGATTTGTTAGGGATAATTTAATTTGTGGGCTAAAATTCGGCGACCACTTGC